TGCAGGCTGCAACGGTTGGAGCTTCTGACTACCTGGGGAATGTTGGGTACGAACTCACACAACATTCAACGCTACGAGGTTTTGCCCCGCTCTCCCATTCCACTCCTCTCTCCTTTCCCCCATTCTATCCCCTTTCCACCTTCTCCACCTCCATCCCTCCTCTCTCTCTTCCCTCCTTCCTATCCCTCCTCTTCCTTCTCCATCTCTGTCCCTCTTCTCCTGTCTCTCTTTCACCCACCCTCGCCCCATTCCCCGTCTCCTCCTCCGCCCCCTTTACTCTCTTTCTTCCTTCCATTCTATTCCTCTCTCCCCTTTTCACCCTTCGCCCGCGTCTCCTCTCTCTTCCCCATCCCCTTTCCTATTTCCCTTCCTCTTTTTCCAACTCTTCTGTTTCTTCTCCCTCATTCCCCTTCCCCCTTCCCCACCTCCGTCACCCATCTCCTTTGCCAGCTCCTTCTCTCCCCCCCCCCTCTGTTTCTTTCTCTTCTCTCTCTTCTCTTTCCTCCCCTTCTCCCTCCTCTGTCCCCTCCCCCCCCTCCACTCTCCGCCCTTCCCAGAAGAACGTACTATGACTCTCGTTTTCTTTCGCTCGCCATTCATTCAACTCCGTTTTCCCTCAGTTTATTTTTAGCTCTCAAGCCTTCTATATCTACTTTTGCCAGGAGTTCGCCTCTTTGACTTTCTCCGTCATTTGCGCCTCTCCTTCTCTGTTTGTCTGTCTGTCCTTCTTGCATGTCTGTATGTGCGTATGTATGATGCACTCATACCCCCCTCTCTCTCTTTCTCTCTCTCGTTTTCTTGTCTGTATGTATATGTGTATGCTTATATGTATGTATATTAGTTGTATGTATGTATATATACATGGATATATTTTTATATGTATGTGTGATGCGTATATTTGCAATATATGTATGTATACATACTTGCGTACATACATACATACATACATATATACATACATACATATATATATATATATATATATATATATATATATATATATATATATATATATATATATATATACACACACATATACATATATATATGCACATATATCTGTATCGATCTAATTATCTATCTATCTATCTATATATAAAAAAAAACGTTATTTTTGCTGTGAACTGTTACATAATAGCGACAACTTTCTTTAGGCAGGTAGTGCTTATGTCATGCTTGGCAGACATTTCCCTCTCCCCTTCTATGTAGCCGATTTGTGTGGCTGAGAATAGTGGTTGTTATATAATCATGTCGATGAGATTTGATTACCTTTTTGTATACATTATTATTGTTATCATTATCATTATTATTGATATTATCATTATCATCATCATCGTCACCATGACCATCATCATCGTCACCATGACCATCATCATCGTCACCATGACCATCATCATCGTCACCATGACCATCATCATCGTCACCATGACCATCATCATCGTCACCATGACCATCATCATCGTCACCATGACCATCATCATCGTCATCATTATCGCTGTCATCATGAACATGATAATCATTAATACTGTTACTATCATTATTATTACTTTCATAAACCTTCTAATGTTTTACAAACAATTATGATCATCACTATATGTTATCATTCCGATAATAAAAAAAAACGTTATTTTTGCTGTGAACTGTTACATAATAGCGACAACTTTCTTTAGGCAGGTAGTGCTTATGTCATGCTTGGCAGACATTTCCCTCTCCCCTTCTATGTAGCCGATTTGTGTGGCTGAGAATAGTGGTTGTTATATAATCATGTCGATGAGATTTGATTACCTTTTTGTATACGTTATTATTGTTATCATTATCATTATTATTATTGACATTATTACTAATATCATTATAATCATCATTATAACCAGTACTATAATTATTATAATTATTATTATTGACATTATTACTAATATCATTATAATCATCATTATAACCAGTACTATAATTATTATAATTATTATTATATTATCATTATCATCATCATCGTCACCATGACCATCATCATCGTCACCATGACCATCATCATCGTCACCATGACCATCATCATCGTCACCATGACCATCATCATCGTCACCATGACCATCATCATCGTCACCATGACCATCATCAACGTCACCATGATCATCATCATCGTCATCATTATCGCTGTCATCATGAACATGATAATCATAAATACTGTTACTATCATTATCATTATTAATTTCATAAACCTTCTAATGTTTTACAAACAATTATGATCATCACTATATGTTATCATTCCGATAATAAAAAAAAACGTTATTTTTGCTGTGAACTGTTACATAATAGCGACAACTTTCTTTAGGCAGGTAGTGCTTATGTCATGCTTGGCAGACATTTCCCTCTCCCCTTCTATGTAGCCGATTTGTGTGGCTGAGAATAGTGGTTGTTATATAATCATGTCGATGAGATTTGATTACCTTTTTGTATACATTATTATTGTTATCATTATCATTATTATTATTGACATTATTACTAA